ACTTTGGAAAGTTTGATGAGATCTATGTGAGTGACAATTTATTCCTAGAGCACGTTTAGAGCATGAAGCAGCACACCAACATTTACCATCCAGAGCTGCAGCTGGATCTCAGTGAAGTACGTTAATATTAGGAAGTTAATTTAGTTTAGTAATTCAACTGTTGCGATGATGTGCTGTAGAGCGGGAGCTTCTTAAAGAGACAGAGACCCAAATTGAAGGCCGTAACTTGCAAAGTCAAAAGTCTTTTTAGTCACGTTTGGTTTGTACAGGATTTTTATAACAAGTGAAGTCAACACAGTCACTTGATTGTGACGCACTCCTCCAAACTGAATATACACTCAAATACTTCAGTCATTCACCATATCTTTACATATTCTATCTTCCTAAAGTCCGGCCGTGTTATATCTCTAATTAGCTGGGGAAAAAAGTGCTTCCTGAAATTTTCAGCGTTTTTGAACGACTGTTGCAGGAGATCGGTTATCAGCACGCCAAGATGCTGTTCACCGGCTGGGCTCGGGGTGACATCATCAAGAACATGCTGAGGGATCACCGCTCGGCTGAATACAAAGACAGCAAGGGGATGGACGTGAGCCGCGCTACAACACACACACACCTCAAGAATACTATTGGTCTCCTGTAGAACACACACGTTCACTACAACAGGTGTGAATTTACAATATAAGGAGGGTGATCCTTTTGTCTCTCAGGTCAGCACATGTCCCGGAGCTGACTTCACAGATCTTGCGGAGATCGTGTCCAGGATAGAGCCGGTGCAAAGCTACGTCGCTACAGAAGGTGAGACCCGTCTCCCAGAACAGAGGAAATGTCCGTTCTGCCCTCAACGCCGTGTTTCTGGAACAAGCGTTGCTTTATTCACGTGTTAGGAATAAATGAGATTTGGAGCCTCTTACTTGATCCTTTTAGTAGTAATACCAATTAAAGGGTACAAGATAAAAAATTAGAATTTTCTGCTAGTCTAAATAATACCTACTAATAAATTAGGTGTTATTTATATTGTTATTTATACTCTATAATGGGTGCTTTAAATCTCTGTGTCCAGCGGAGGAGTCGGACTATCTGACGGAGTACGAGGAAGACGGGATGGACACCGTGAGAGAGGAAGAGGGAGATGAGGACGAGCATGAGGAAGTTGAGGACCTGTCCCCAGGAGAGTGGGGACAGAATGGCGTTTTTCAGACTGTGAGTCCTGAAATAAAATAAATAAAAGACACACAAAAACAAGAGATTTGGGTCTGCTTTTGGTTTCTGAACCGTCAAAGACTCTGTAGGTTTTTCAGGGTGTTAAACGCATTTATCTAAAATGAAGGCCTTTAATTTATTTATTTAAGCGTAAGTAGGCTTTACATCAAAGGTCTTAAATTTTGACATGGTAAGAGTATTTCATTTCATACAGTGTTTGCAGGAACTTTTCTATCAGGTCAAAGTTTGAGCCGTGTTCAGACTCAAGGTGGTTGCAGCTACCGTCAACAGACTGAAAATACTTCCTAGCTAGATAGCAAGAAAACAAACAAAAAAGCCATTAGCGACCATCGTAGCACAAAGTTCCTACAATGAGCCACAAAAAGACTCCAGAAATTTCACAGTTTTGGTCACTTCCATGTCTCTTGTAGATCTCTGTCGTGATATAGGTCTTAAATTTTATTCATAACATGCTTTGTGTTTACCCAGATTGTGTCGCTGTTTAAAATCTTCCGATGTTTGCTTACCGTGGTCAACTGGGCAACATCAGCGACAATAAAACTGAAACCACCAGTGAAAGATCTGTTTCAAACCGTAACTCATTCTGTTGGATTAATGGATTAATCTATATGTTGTGCTGTTTGAGTGAGGGTTAGGGCAAAAAAATAAATAAATTATGTTGTAACACGTTTCATTGACAGATGGTGAATATCAACGTGTTTGAATTTCGCACTTTTTTAGCGTTTTAGCGTTAGCAAAGGCAATGTTTCTTTCATTTACGCAAACTCATGTTCATTAGTGTTGTAGCATTAGCCAAGCTAATGTTTATGATTATTGCTTAAGGGGTAGCATTACTCACCTCTTAGTTACCACTGGTTTTAACCAATCTAACACTCAGGCTGCAAAGCTTAAATATTCAGGTTCATATCAAAAGCGTCGCCTCCATTAAGGCCCTGGTTTTCAGGAAAAATGATTGAAGCAGAAACGGGCCTCGAGTCGCACTTTAACTTTAAAATGACTGTTTGTCTGCTCTGCAGGATGAGGAGAAATCTGTGAGGCAACGGCGGAAACTTGCCAGCGAGTCAAACGCTTCAGACTGCTGACAGAAGGCCCTGGACGAGCAGAGGACAAAACTTGAGACTTAAGACTTGAAATGTGGATGCCACACTCGACATCTGAAATTTCTGCAATGTTTTTTAGGGGGTTTTCTTTCTTTTTCTTATTGACCACCTTCAAGAACCAGTTTTGTTCCCGTTGTGTCGCATTTGCTTTAATATCTGTGGTCCTGAACGTAAGCAGTTTCTCCTCTTACAGACATTAAGCTGAACTGAATTTATACCACCAGACAAGCTCTCTAAATTAGATTTTAAGGTAATAATTTGTAGAAAAATGTATTTGATTTGGCAAAGCGTCTCTCCATTAAGCCTTTGTTTTATTTCACGGCCCTCATTTGCCGTTGCGCGTTCGTTTGTAAGGGTGTGTGCATTTTGCTTGTGCCATTTTTATTTCAGATTGGAAAAGCTTCAATTAGCTTGTTAGCAAGTCGACGCTAGGAAAACACACTGTTGGACAGGCAAATTGTAAAGGTAAAAATAGAAAAATCAGGTAGGGTATATGGTGAATAAAATAGAGCAGCATTTTATTTCACAGGAAAAACGAAACACTACTTGTATATTTTGAATTCAGGAGAGCAAGGTGCTTTTTCTAGACTAGGTCCGTTGTGAGGAAGGGATCAAACGACTAGATTCTGAGCGACCATTTGTAGGAGTCAGAAACGGTTTCATTTTAGAGATCATGTCAGAATGCGTTAAAGAATAGCCACACTTCACGGCTGCGGCGCGTTTGTTGGACTCACTTCACTAAACAAACAAGCGTGTTGGTTCTGTTTGCACAATGTCAGCACTCAGGGTTCCTGCGTATAACTTGATGTTTACGAGAGGGGGGTAAAAGAAAAAAAAACTGGTGAACAGCTGGGTTTGTTTGTTTTGTTTTTTTTCCAGCTTGATTCTCCAATCGATTGCACACACACACACACACACTCTCTCAAAGAAAAAAAATCCTCAAATCTAATGTAAATATTTATTTGGGCACAAAAAGTACGCAGAAATCCCGAGTCACCTCAGCGATACTTCTGTCGGTTAGAAACTGTAACTAGATTATAACATGTTTAATAGCGTCAGTATTCATACATGTATACGGGAGGGATTTTGTAAGTTGACACTTTGCTGCATAATAGGGAATCTAAACCAAAAAATAATAAGCTGTTCTCTCTAAACATCTCTTCTTTGTTTCAGCATTTGCATCTGTTTTCTTTCTTTCTTTTTTTTTTATTAATTATATTTATTTTTTAATTTATGCGTCTACCACTGGCTTTGCAATTTAACAAAAGGCGGTCAAGTGTTATTTTAATTAACATGGCTTTAGCTTTTTGCACTGAAATGTTTGATGTACTCTTTGCTAGGACAAGGATTATTACAAAGAGGTTGTAATTTATGATGCATATTGGGAAATAAACATAACATTTACCCTGATCCACTTGAACATGTCTTAAATCACTTTGTTTCAGTGATCATAAAATGCAAGTCACACAGTTCGTTGGTCGGTGGTTGGAGGTCGATGTTTGTTTGTTTTGCTCACATTAGTGCATTTCTCATCAATTTCATAAACCACCTGTTCAGTCTTCATATTGCGTCACTTTTTCATATCAGTAAAGCAATCCGACCTCAGGATTACACACTTGAGAAAATCCCTTCAATACCTCTTCCTGCATCTTACTTCAAGTTAATTCATATTTTACATTGGTTCAAAGTGCTGAACACAATTGAAGCACAACATGATGAACAAAAAGAAACGCTCCAATGCAGTGGTGGAATAAAGAGAAGTCATGAAAACTGTGATCCACTTCCCAGATGTTTCTCTATCAAAGGTAACTAAACAAGTGGGGCTTCATCTTTGATTTAAAAGCATTTGGTGTTTCAGCAGTTTTGCGGTTTTCTGGAAGTTTGTTCCAGTTTACAGGAGTGTAAAAACTGAATGCTCCTTCACCATGTTTGCCTCTGGTTCTGGGGGTTGCATTTTTAAGAATGAGTATGTAAAACACATTTCACGTTTTCTTTTCATAATTACTTCATTAATTTGTGTCTGTGGGAATCTGACCTGTTGCTCCCGTACCAATGGAAGCCAAAAAAAAAAAAAAAACTTCAGCCATGATTATGAAAACTGAAAAAAAGGTGGATTGTTGTTTGAACAGTGGAGAGTGCATGCAATATGTTGACCCTGGGAATATTCCCATCTGCAGTTAAAAAGACAAAAAAAACTTGAAAAGCCTGAGTGGCAATTCATGACCCGCTATGTGAAACTGATTAATCTATTTTACACATTATTTAAAAAACATATACAAAAGGCATAAAAATATACTTGGCTGCTTCTGCAGAGTCAAATTATTGTATCTTACGAAGTCTAACAAGACTCGTGGTGTCTTGAGAAACTTTTCGCAGCTCGTGAACGTTCAGTTTTGTTTCCATCAGTTCCAAAATCTCCTTTGCACTTTATTTTATCACCCCAGCCCTGCAGAGCGACCGTCCTGCATCGCTGCTCCAACATACCAAAATGACGTGGCTGAATTCCATCAACAGCGTTTAGTCGTTCAACTCTGTGGCCATGGCGAAGGGACTTTTTTTTTGTGAGTTCAAATGGCCTCTAACCAAATAAAACGTTCTTATCTGAAGAAGGCAGAGCAGAAAACAATCCAGCGGAACATGTGAACAGTGATGCGTGTGCTGCTATATAAGGAGGACTGAGTGTGGACTTTCCTCCAGGTTGTTCTCACCATGAACTCTGTTGGTGTGCTGTCCTGCTTCAGCCTGCTGCTGGCAGCTGCTGCCGGTCAGGAACCAAAACCCTGCGGTCAGTGTGGCGATACGGGAAATGTTCTGGGCTCTGTCCCCGTAGTTTGTAGACAAAATGGTGAAAAAACGTGTTTAGGTTATTTCTGTTCCCCCCAATTAAAGCTGCACTATATAACGTATGACAGCAGAGAGGCGGTTTTCCCGTAAGGTAAGTTCTTTTCTGACCCATTGCCACATTTCGCTCTGCATGTCTGAGGTGACTGACCGCTCAGACCTGCGCTCCTGGCTGTGACTGGATGTTTTTTGACCGGGAGCGGTGCATTTTTGGAGCTCAGGAAGGATGTGGAGAAGCCTCGTATCAAATTGTCAAGACATCATAACGGTTTAATAAACATTGGAAAACAAAACCGTTTTTGTAAAAGTTACACAGTGCAGGTTTAAGCTGTGAATAATTAATAAAAAAAAACAGTTAAATTTTTAAATGGATTTGGATTAAGAGCATTTCTCAATGACTTTAATTTGTTTTTCCACAGTTTCTCCAGAAATGTTGACTGGAGGCGTTTCTGTGGTGCGTTCACTGACTTCTCGTACCCTTTATAAGATTTGTCCTGCTGGACTCTCATCTAGATTGAAACTTTGGATCTTGTAGTTCTTACTCGCGTTTTACCATTTGAATCTCCTCTCCAGGCGACCGCCAGTGGATTAATGACGTCAGGAACAGTGGCCTATGACGCTTTGGGAAAGAGGCTGCGCGCCAGACACTATGGCAACTTCGGGAATATCACCGTGGCAGTGGACGAGCTGATGCTCTACCACCAGGTTCGTTAAACTAACCTTTTGTCTGCAGAAACCTCTCCCACAGATTTTATTTTTTTCTGATTTTAGTTTCTTTCCTTTAGAGATCTTCAGTGTTCGCGTCAGGCCACAAAGGTTTTCTGTTGTTTGTTTGATTTTTATTTTGCATTGAAACTCTAAAATTGGAAATAGCTTTTCTTTGCACCTGAGATAGATTGAGTTTTTTTTCCAGTTCTGTTATTATTTAAAACAACTCTTTGATTGTTACAGAGAAACACAAATGAGGCTCTATGTGATTAATGATGAACTCATGCTGCGTATAATATGCATGAAAAAGAAAAAAAAATGTGTCTTGTTCCCTGCAGAAATGTGTTTTATCACAGAAAAATGGCACTAGTACATTTCATTCTTTCTTAAATAACTAAAGTAAAAAGAAAAATGTGTAGGCGGGGACAGAGACTGTCTATTCAATATTATTATTGAGAAGGCTATTTAAGTCAAAATCATATCAATTTCATTATTTTCATTATTTTCATTTCTTTCAATAATCTATTTTTAAACACATTATTTGACTCTAAATGCATTCTTTAAAATGATAAAAATAGGTGCAGGGTTATGGGAAGACATTGTCAGTGGAATGCTAGTCAAACCCACAACAGTAGAGTCTTAAAAACAACAACAACAAATTATAATAGTAAATATGAAGTTGTGAAGACTGCCCGCATCTGTCCTTTCAGGAGGTCATGTATGAAATCAATTGGAGCGCCATGACGTGCAGGAAGTTGCCTCTGGATACCTACTTCATGCCCCTGCATATTCCTGAAGAAGCGTCGCTGCTCGGCCAGGCGTTCCTGGGCTCCAGCTCCTCTTGGGGGATGGGTCTGCTGACCAACACCTGGGTGGGGCAATTTCCCAATAGCGGTAAGAATGAACCCTGACCTGTGACCCTGGAGTAGATTCAGTTTCTACAAGGTCTGTGTGTCAAATTGATTCTGGAGATGTAAGGAAGTGAACAATATTTTATATCATTTATTAGGATCGTATTTTTTAAGGTAATAAGAAGCCAACCTGGACATGTGTGAAACATTCAGATTTTGGAATGGCCTACTTAAAGTCCAAATTTAAATCAACTCAGAAGCTGTGGCCATGCCATAAACTGACTGATAATGCTCAAAAACCCTCCAATATGGCCGCATAACGACTTTGCAATACAAGCTGTCCTTGAACTAATGTCATTTTTGGATGCAACATATAAACTCGTGTTTCATGTTTGTGCAGACATGTACTCACTCACCTTCACTGAGATCGGCTGCCTCCCTGTGACTTTGTCAAACTACTCTCCAAAAACAGGATGGACCACCATCAGGTTGGACAAACACGGCCACACAACAACCAGCCCCATGCAGAACATCTATGCATCTATTTTTTCTACCAAAATTAAGTAATCCATTACAGTAAGAGATTAGTGGTTTTTTTAAAAAAGAGAAAATCCCACAGAAATCGATCTCTAGCTAATAGTTAATAGACAAAGTGTAGAAGATTGTCCTTCTAAAATTAAGTTTATTTTGGCAAAATCAACTAATTGTTTTTTTTCTGTTTCAGTACCTACAACTGGGTGATTGGGCTGTCTAGTCCTCAGGATTTCTTCCCTCCTCCTTTCTGTTACGACGCAAAAATGGAGAAATCTGCCATGCCGCAAACCTTCTTCTCTGCCATGGAGGCCATGGCCACGAAGGTGCAGTCTATGAAGTGATCAGCGGGATCTTCTGAGAAATAAATTTCTAATTATGCTGACGCCATCTCGGAAATGCTACCAATAAAAATGTTCAAATAGAAATCAAATGAAACATAATTTATGGTGTTTTTATGGGTTTTCACTCGAAAAACATGGCTGAGAACAAGTGTTAATTTATGAAAAACCGTCAGATGGACAAAATCAAAATATCAGGAAATGTCAGGAAAATGTGGTGACCTTTTGGTGACCCTTGCCAAAGCAGTCAGCGCGAGTTCTGGGCGTATCGATCTAAATATCGATGCTGTCGACAGTATTGGCATGTGATGACTTTGATATTTCTGTCTGCAGTTTCTGTCCTTTATGTCCACATCACAGAGTTTATGCCAACGCATATGCAGGAATTAAAATATCAATACATTTTAAATTTTAGCAGGATTTTATACCTTTGTAATGTTTGACCATTTTAATAGGGCTGCATATGATAAAAATAGTACTCCTACTATGTATGCAGAGTACAGTTAACGAGTTAGTCAATAAATATTTGCGTGTAGTAAAGGTGAAAGTGAACAATTTTATTTATTTTCATTATTCATTTGCCAAAAATCTTTTCCCTGTATTTGATCATAATCATAACTATGTGAAGACCAGTCATTACGCCAGTCGGTGACAATGACACTTCAAGATAAAATGATCACTGCTGGTATCGATTTCAGATCCGATACTGCTCTCGATATTAGTATCTGCGAGACTTTCCTTGTATTTATATAGAATCAAATCCATACCAAAACTCCCATCATTCAAATGACACCTTTATCCATCATATGACACCAGTGGAGTGGGCTGGTCCAGAGGCCAGCCACGCTAACAGTTAGCCACGAGCTAACTGATTGAAGAAGGCAAATTTTTGCAGAAATTTTTGCTGTTGAATTTATTTAGGAAAACATTCTGGTACATAATTTCACAGTGTTTTAAATTCAATTTCTAAACAGTCTGATTCCCAGCAGACTATATTTCTTCCTCACATTAATAACTGAGCGGCGGTTCTCTTCTTCATTAGAGGGTCGTCGCACATTCACCTCTCAGCCTTGAAGACTTGTGAGTCGTCTTCTTCTAATCATGGCCTGTTTGGTCAGAGGCGGTCGTCCGTCCTCGCTGTCTAAAGCTACTCATCTGCCTGGTGTGATTAACGCGATGCGAGTTTGCTCTGAGAGCATCAGCTGCAATAATAGCATTGCCACTCCAATTATCAGACTAATCGTTCTCTGAGTGTGCTGGCTCTGCGGCTGTGTAGGAGAGGAGATGCAATTTACCGTTCCTGAGTATTAGTGAGGGAGACACTGAAACCATGATTGCTAATTTTCACACTGAATACATTTACAGGCCTCTGTTTTAACATAGATTCTGTAAATATTGAAGCACCAACTTCAGCCAGAGGCCACCCTATGAATCTACCACAAACTCTTAGATTAACTGTCCTCTTACATATTTTTACCCTCCATTCAACTTTCCAGTAATAGTTTTTACTGTTACTGTTTAGAGTTTTTTTGGTCTGCAATATTAAATTCATAGTTTACATCAGATGCATCATTGTAATGAACAGTGGAACTAATTTTTTTTCTATTTCAAGAGGCGATCAGGCAAATTCCTCTGTTAATTTTGGCCCAACTTTAAATATCTGGGAAAACAATTTTACTCTGACAGTTTAACATGTTCATGGCAAGATATTTATAGATATCTTGCCCTGTTTTGTTTATCTATGAAAAAGCACATTGATTGCTAAAAAAAAAGTATATGTAAGCCTCACTGTTAAGCTACCAAATGAAGAAAAGTAAAAGGAAACAGAAGGACAAATTAAACAATGTTTGTTAGACTTTTGAAACTTTGTTTTTGGCAGCTGGGTTAGTAAAAGCCTGAAATAATAAAAGTTATCTTCTTTTGTTTAAAAGATTAACCAAATAATGTATTTACAGGCAACAAATAATCAGTCAGGTTTTGTGTAAAACTGTATTACCTAACATCAGTCACCAGAGGGCGGCAGTGTTCTCTACCTTCTTCATGGTAAATTTGTGGCTGGCTTCATCTCAACCAGACTGCGCTTTCATTAAAAACAAACTGTATTTTATTGAATAATCTTTTTTTCAAAATTCACTTTATGTACAGCTTTGTTTTGTTATTAGATTTGTATAATTTTTTCTTAAAATTTGATCGGAAAGGGATGAACGTCTTACAAAAGGAAAGGAAATGATGTTAAATGCTTTGACCAAAGGTCAAGATTAAAAGTTCCTGTCAGTGCAGAGAGTGTGATAAACTAAGTCTGCTTTTTTATTTTTTACAAATATTTTTGTTTATTTATTTATGTATTTATTTTGTAGAAAGCATCCTACCATGAACATGTTACTATTCCTAAAGTTATTATTATTATTAGGCCTGTATATATTATTATATAGTATTATTATTAGGCCCATATGTATTATTATATAGTATTATTATTAGGCCTATATGTATTATTATATAGTATTATTATTAGGCCTATATGCATTATTTGGCACACTTGTTTAGATTCCCAAGACTCCGACAGAAAATTCAATTCATGTCATGGTGCAAGTCAAACAGGAAGTCGGCCATTTTGGATTGAAGTTTACAGGCTTCGCATTTGATCGAACTCCTCCTGGATTTTAAGCTATTAGATGTATATTCAAACTAATACAAATGTGTGATATTTTACCCACTGAATGCAGCTTCAGCTTTGTTGCGTCTTCCCCCTAAACATTCAAATAACTCCTTGACATTCTACTCTTCTTTAGCGAAGAGTAAAAAGGCATATTTAATACACGGAAAGGCTGAATGTGTCCTGTTTCTTCTAACCCAGAGAGCGTCACGAACGATTCTCTTCTTCATTAGAGGGTCGTCGCACATTCACCTCTCAGCCTTGAAGACTTGTGAGTCGTCTTCTTCTAATCATGGCCTGTTTGGTCAGAGGCGGTCGTCCGTCCTCGCTGTCTAAAGCTACTCATCTGCCTGGTATGATTAACGCGATGCGAGTTTGCTCTGAGAGCATCAGCTGCAATAATAGCATTGCCACTCCAATTATCAGACTAATCGTTCTCTGAGTGCGTTGGCTCTGCGGCTGAAATGTGTGTGGGACGAGAATCTGTTGTTCCTGTTGCAGTAAGAAAATGATATTGTGAATTGTCCATTCCACTCCTAAACATTGCCCAACTTCACCTGAGCCTGAATGTTTATGTGAGAGACAAAAACTGTTGCTTCATCGTTTCGTCTCGGTGCCAGTCAAAGGCAAAGCCTGCAGAAACACAAAGCAATTCCTTGAAAACCAGTGGTCTAAATTGAAATTAAAATTAAGAACAAAGCACATAATCAGAGAAAACAAGTAAATTAACATGTAATATGAATTATATTCATGTGTGATTTTGTTTTGCAGAGGAGTGCTGCTATTGGAATAATGATTTTAAAACTGCTCTCATGTTGGTCACTTTGACTTGAGAATTACAGACAAGACTGCTTTGCAAAAAACACTCGCATTGGCACATATGTCTTTCTAATTACATCATTTTGAAAAGAAAAATAAATCTAACTGGATTAAATTTGTTCCGATCTAGATTAAAATAACACTTAATTATTCCTCAGTGGAGAAATTTCAGGGTAATTTGTCAGATTTAAAAACACACAGACACAGTTTAAAACAATAAGTTGTCATTTCTTTCTGTTAATATTAGTGATGCAAAAAGTAGAAGTGTGCAAGACGGCTTATGAAACCCAGGCTCCCTGTGTGATTCTAAATCCAAGCAATTCTAATCCTGTCAAGCCTTCACATCCACAACTTGTGGCTTAATCACATCTGGCCAAATTCAAATTATCAAATGACTTTTATCCTGTAATGTCCGTGTCCTACTGACCAGGGTCTCTTGGACTCATGTTAAGCCAAAGGGACAGCCTGAACTTGTTATTGTGAGCTTGTTCTGGAAGACGACTTGTTTTAGTTTCTGTGGTTGCATGCTGGATGTCTTTTAAATATTAGTTTAAGACGGTTTTTACGGCATCACCCAAAATGTACATACAAAGTCTTCCTGGATGTGTTCTCATGTCCTTGTTTGACTGTTTACGCATAAGGAAAGGAAACGGGAGAGTTTTTCCCACCACTTTCAGCCTCATCGTGTCGCATTTAAATACACAAGAAGTTCCCTTCCCTCCTCCAGTCCGACAGGTCCAGTTGTGAGGGACTCTGTTTATTGTTAAATGGTTGATCAATCCTCTGTAAGATGTTCAGTACTTGAGATGTTATTTTGCAACCTAACCCTCCTCACAGCGAACATGTCTGCTGCTTTCCTTTGTCGTCATGATGCCCTTTCTTCTCCCCTGTTCTCTAACAAATCAATTCAGAACTGCAACAATTATTTGGGTAATAAAGTAACTATAATTGGTGGATCCTATTTGTATTATGGGTTTTCCAGTCCCAACAAAGTATTTCATATCAATCAAATATCTGTTGCCTTGAGTTCTTCAAAAAAACTGCGTGTATCAAACAAGCTTTTGAAAAAATTTGACTTTGTAATTTACCGCCTTGAAATTTGGCCACTGTCTCTTTAAGAAGCTCCTGCTCTTTCTTAAACCCTCACAACAAGGCTCCTCTATGAACCCTTTAACGTTTCTACCAGTGTTGCACTGAGAAGTAGCTCGTAAAATGAGCTCAGCACATGCGCAGTTCAATTTAGATGTTTGCTAATTGCTGCTGGCTAGTCTGAAGGAGCTGAATTGTCGCGTCTCGGGAAAGGGCTGCTCTGTGAGGCGGAAACTTGGAAACAGCAGCTGTGAGGAGGAGCTTTGTCCGCGAAGGCGGAGCTCCGTCCGACCAGGCGCTTTTGCACAGACGAATGGATGCCGTGGAAACTGAACGATTTCTCAGAATCGAGGCAAAACTCCAGGTATGTTTCTGATGAGGGGATAACATCATAACATGACGTAAAGCTCAAAAAGTCTGATTTTACGTAATACTGTCCCTTTAATAAAATGCAAAAGTTTCATTTCAGCACAACAAGGGAGGGAAAAACAGTCGATGCCTTCCTGACCTTAACCCACAGCACATGCCCACACTTTGTGTT